GCATTTAAATTATCTACCCAAAGATAAATGACAAAAAGTAAATCTATTATATTGTCAATAATAATCAACTAGAAAGCAGATAATAACGAAAAATACCTAAATCAAACTTCAAAAACAGTCACCACAACTTTACAATTCTTCCTGTATCATTAGCAAAAGTCCTGGAAATTTAATTTAGAATTTTTATTTTGAATATCATAACCAAAAACTTTACAATTTAGGCCAGGTGTGCTGCTGCATGCCTGTAACTCCAGCACTTTGGAAGCTGAAGTAGAAGGATTGACAGGAGTTCAAGGCCAGCCTGGAATACATAGCAAGACCCTGTCTCAGAAAAAAAAAAATAGAATTGAACATAAACTGTCACACATATATCATTGTACAGGGTTTCACTATGCAGTTCAAGCTGGCCTTGAGCTCACTTTGTAGCCCAGGCTGGTCTCAAATTCACAGGATCCTCCTACTTCAGCCTCCTGAGTGCTGGGATTATGGGCGTGCGCCATGCACTACCACACCATGCTGGTGCTGACTCTTTAAAGGCATCTCATATCTACATGTCAATGCTCACAAGCCAGTAGTTTTAACAAAAAAAGCACTTTCACTGGGCATGGCAGTGCACACCTGTAATCCCAGCACTGGGGAGGCTGAGGCAGGAGGATCATTGAGAGGACCAGCCTGGGCTACAAAGTGAGCTCAAGGCCAGCCTAAACTGCATAGTGAGACTCTGTCTCAAAAAGACCAAAAAAAACCACTTTCTCTTGTGTACCAAGTAAATCAAATCACTAAATCACATGATAATTTAAGAAAAAACAGGAAATTTGTAGAATAGAGGATAGCAAAAGTAGTGGTGAGTGAAATGTAGAAGACATTCAATTTATCCTTAATACCTTCTAAATAAAATAGGCTAAGCAGTACAATCAATTTACAGTATATATATATATATATAATATATAATATATATAAAGGAAGATTGTTGTTTCAAATGTGTATTATGTACAGTTATCCAGCCTTGACTAAACTTAAAGTTTGTTAATATCCTTGGTTATAATCTTTCACTTCTGGTTTTTTTTTTTTTTTTTTTGACTTTTTGAGACAGGGTCTTGCTATGTATTTCAGGCTGGCCTTAAACTCACTATGTAGCCCAGGCTGGCCTCCAACTCACTGTGATCCTCCAGCCTCAATCTCCTAAATGCTGGTATTACAGGCACATGCCACCATGCCCAGCTAATCTTCCACATCTTAATTATGGACTTGTATTCCTTGTGTTTCATGCCCCAAAGTGTTGTATAATTTAATGGCAAATAAGTCAAGAGTGTAAATACTTTTCCCTAAATTTCAATATAAAACATGTAGCTAAATCAAAGATCATAGTGTATAAATCCATTGTTCTAATAAGAACACTTTTAAAATACCTACTCCAAGAAAAAATATTCCATCTCTCCCACAATGAAGCCCCTAAGAGGGCACATATGAAATAATTATAATCAACAGTACAATGAAAGAATCTAGCAATTTACTACTGCACATTTTGTTCTTAGCCACTACACTACATTTCCTTTTCTGCTCAGATTCTCACTCAACTCTGTCCTATATTCCCTTAGAAAGAAATCAATGGGTAGAGAATAGATATTTCACTTAAAAGAATACCATTGTATTAAAAACTAGGCCTGGTGTGGTGGCCCACGCCTGTAACCCCAGCACTGGGGTAGCTGAGGCAAGAGGATTGCTCTGAGTTTGAAACTAGTCTGGGCTACAAAGTGAGTGAACTGTATACAAACTGTATAATGAGATCCTGCCTCAAAAAGACAAAAAAAAAGCCACTAGTATGTCCTGAAAATCTGGGTTTGGTATACAACAACAAAATCTAAGTGAACAATATAAAAACTAAATGAAAGCCGGGTGCAGTGGTGCATGCCTGTAATCCCAGTACTGGGGAGGCTGAAGCAGGAGGATCCTTGCAGATGAGACCAGCCTGGGCTACAAAGTAAGCTCAAGACCAGCCTGGGCTACAAAGTGAGCTCAAGGCCAGCTGGAACTGCATAGCGAGACCCTGTCTCAAAAAAGGCAAAAAAGAAAAAAAATTAAATGATAAAATGTACATTATCTAAAGTATACATAATATTCAAACAACTGAAGGAATTCTGTGTACTTAAAAATTTTTAAATGTATAAGGGATGCAGATATACCTCAGTAGTACAGTGTTTGCCTACCATGCACAAGATCTTGAATCAATACCCAGTACTGGAAAAAAATATAAGGAAATATAAAAACAGAAAAAGTCACTAAATACAAAAATAAAACGTTAAAATCAAGCTCATATGCCCGGCATGGTGGTGCACGCCTGTAATCCCAGCACTCGGGAGGCTGAGGTAGGAGGATCATTGCAAATTCGAGACCAGCCTGGGCTACAAAGTGAGCTCAAGGCCAGCCTGAACTGCATCGCAAGATCCTGTCTCAAAAAGAAAAAAAAAAAAAAAAAATCAAGCTCATGTAAGGATATAAATGGATTCAGAATTACAAACTAGTTAAAAGTTAAATCTCAATAAAATGAAAAAGAGAGCTTTTTTGTTTTTGTCTTTTTGAGACAGGCTGCCTTGAACTCACTTTGTAGCCCAGCCTGGTCTCAAACTCACAATGATCCTCCTGCCTCAGCCTCCCAAATGCTAGGATTACAGGTTTACAGGTGTGCACTAACACACCCCGCAAAAAGAGTTACTTAAATCTACAAGGGGTATTCACATCTATGAAAATCAAGAAAAGATTCAAACAAAACAAAAGAATCTCACACTAAGCCAGTCATGGTGGCATATGCTGAGGCAGTATTGCTGAGGCCAGCCTGGGCTGCATAGTGATTTTAAGGCCAGGCTGAACTACGTAAGGAAATCCTGTCTCAAAAAAAAAAAAAAACAAACAAACAAACCTCACACCAAGTCCGTAGATGTTGACATTATAAATTAGTACAATGCTCTGGAAAACAATCTGACAACGTATGACAAAAGCTATAAAATTGATGAACCCCTTTACATTGACAAATCCACTGCAGGAAATAAAGTCCAAGAAAGTAAGTCTCCAAGTAGGGGGCAGAAAAAGACCATGTAACTAGGCAAAGACCTTAGTAAAAAAACTACTCAGTGGGAACTTGGAATCAAATTATAGCATCTTAAATACAATTGAACTTTTTCTTACCATTAAAATAATGATGACCATTCAAACTCACAGGTAAGTATATATAAAAGTGTTAAGTCAGAAATATAGAAAGCACAAAATGGACATTGATTATAATTATGTGAAAATTTGCCTTTACAACAAAAAGAAAGGAAACGTCTAGTAAACTAGCTTTTTTATTTTGTGGTGAGAAGACTGTTTTTAATTACTTGAATGTTTCATCAAGTTAGTTTAAAAAACAATTTTTCCTTTAAAGTCTCCTTTTACAGCTTGCTTAAAAATGGCCTGCCTGCATGCACATATAGGCTGATAAGAGGAGCAAATGGAAACAAAAGCATTCTCAGTACAGTTCAGTATTAAAACTATCTTCCAAACCATATGAGTAATTAAGTGTTAAGACATATTAGCAGGCACTGTTGTTTTTGCCTTTTAGGAGACAAACAATTCTTAGGTCCATCACAAAGTCTGACTACAAATTAAATAAGCTGATAATAGTTATTCAAAAATAATTTTTTCCATCTGACAAATTCTTCCCATTAATAGTACAGATAATCAAGTTTACCCTTATCAAGACTGTTATAGCATTTTTGGTGATTTGTGAAAATGTAAGAAAAACATTTGGGCAGTACATTTGATAATAATTAACATTGCCTCAGTGTTATAATGTACAAAGAGAAATACCAAAATCAACACCACACCAATTTAAATACTCAGTGCAAGCAAATTTTAAATCATTTTGTTTATATCTAGTCTACCATACTCCTTCAACTTTCTTTAACTTTGTCTGATTTTCCTCATTTGAGCCTTATCTGAAGATAGCTGATTTAGATTTCAGTATCATCAACCCTTTCTCTTTTCATTACCGTACAATTCACTGTGCCTGTGACTAACACAAGAGAACCTCCTACCCAAACTAAAAAGGACCACCTTTTTGTCAGTGCTGAACAGTGGGTGCATTTACATTATAATTTATATTTTCAAGAGAAACAACAGTCAATCCAATGCCTTTGGTCTTTTACTAAAGTATATTCTATTTTAAAAGAGGCCCATTGTTGTCTTCTCGTAAAATCCTGTTTATCAATTCTCAAAAAGGTTATAATCCATAGTTTTTATTTCATTAAATGCATCTGTACAAATGCGATTCACTCAAGATTTAATGAGCTATTTCCTAAGATATGAAATATTAAACGATATGCTTTTATTTGGCAGTTCATTATCTGAAACTGGCAAATTCTGAATTCGCTCGATGTTCCTTATTATTTTTAATTGTGTCGTTTTTCCCAGTCCGCGGTCCGTCAACTCCCCTGCTGAGCCCGTACTCCCCCCTTCAAAAAAAAAAAAAAAAGAAAAAGAAAAAAGAAAAAAAAGGGGAAAAAAACCCAAGCCTGGCCTCAGTTCCCGTATTTCAAGCCAGGACCAACCAGAAAACAGTTTTCTTCCACTAATCCGGAACTCAGAGCTGTTACCAACGCTGCCATTGGCCAGCGTCAATCCTTGGTACGTGCCCCAAGATAACCCCCAGATTTCTCTCCCTTTTCCCCCTACAATGGGCCTTCCTCGATGTTTGCATCATACTCATAATCCACAACACCGCACTTCTGATAATCACCTCACATTCTTCAAAGTTTTAGGGTGGAAACAAGAGAGGCCAAGGAGGGGGGCAAGGTACCCTTTCTCCAACTCGCAGGAAGGGGGAAGGGGCAGTCATTCTCCAGCTCCGCACCAAGATCAGGAGCCTTGCAGACTGAGGGCTGGGGTGCGGGGCCCGAGTTAGAGGTTCAAGGTGGGGAGGGAGTTGAGAAAGAGTTGGTTTAAGTTGAAATGAAAACTTTACTCACCAGATCCTCGAAGCTTCTTCGGTGCTCTTTCCCTTCCCAATCCAAGCGGCGCGGAATCAGCTGGGGGCCGGAGGAAAAGGGGGGGTGCAAATGATGTAGGCGAAGCCTCTGCTCCCATCAATCGGACCTACTCTGGGTCCAAGTCCTCGACCCTTTGCAGTCTTTATTTTCCTTGTCCCAATAGCAATTGCCTCAGAGCTTACCGAGTTGAGGGGAGGCTAAAGGGGAGGATATCCTTAAAAACCGCCTCCCATAAACATAAAGAGGGGGTGAGTTAAGAGCCCAGCGTCATCCACCCCTTTTGAGGGAAGAAACCGGTTCACCCTAGTGACAACAGCTATGGGTGCCCAGAGCGAAGCCACCTTCCCAACCCCTGCCCTCCGCCCTACATTCGCCCTCCGCTTCCTCCAATCTCACCCCAGTCCTCCCCACCTTTCCCAGAGGGGCTCCGTACCTGATGCTCCTCGAGCTCCTGTACTAGCACCTGAGAAGGGAAACATGGATATGAGGAGCAGCTCCGACCGTCAACCCATTCCTCCCTCCCCAATTCGAACCTCGTCGCTGACTATAGGACTAGTCAAGGCCGGCCTTTCCCTCACCCTCAAAGAACGGGTCACCCTGCTGTCCTTATTTCCCCACTGGGACCATTCCCCAGGACTCCCGGGTCTCTTCCCCCTCACCTGAGCGGATTTGTTGCAGGGTCCGGACTGCAAGAACCTAGCGATCAGGTAATACAGCTCTGAGAAAGAGGAGGGAAATGAGGTTGAGAGGGACGCACAGAAGAGAAATAGAAGCTTTTTCAAAAGACATTGACAGCCGCGGCACTAAGCCCCCAGCCCCTTATCCCCGGGACACGGCTACCCACCGGCTTCTATCTGGGTAGGTGCCGCCGCCATCCTTTTCCCGAGGGGGTTTGGGGCTTCGCTCTGGAGGGGCTGACGGGGGCGGGTGGGGGCGCTGCTTCTATTGTGGTGAAGCCCCCATGTCTGGAAGTCCCACTGCTTCCGCCACACTCCTCGTCCCAGTTTCGGTCTCCCTCGGATTCATCGCATCACGTTTCGACCCATAGATATTCTAGCCCAGGAGCTGAAGAGGCGGAGGAGGAAGGAGAGCGAGAGAGAGAAGAGGAGGGAGGAGCCGAAGTCACAGAGGAGTGGGCGGGGGCAAAGGGGGTGGAGAGAGGGGAAGGTAAAAACGGCGAAACCGGCTTGCAGCTCTCGCTGTTTACCGCCAGAGGCACTAACACAGCTTACGGCGTTGTGCCCTCCCAAACGGACTACAGTTGCCTAGCTACCGTTCTGAGAAGGAGGAGGTGGTTTAACTGGTGGCCGACGCTCTAGCAATCTCCATAGAACTCGGTGGTAGCTTTGGCTTCCGCGAGCTCCGGAGTGGCTTGCCCTTCCTGGGAGGGCAGCCGGGCTGTTTCCGGTAGGGGACCCTTCCTCCTGGGGTGATCTTGAGAAATTTGTGAGGGGCTGACTTGACTACTGCTTCGTTCAAGCACCGAGAAATTGTTTTGTTTCTCTCTACTATTTTTGTAACAAGTGAAAATGCCGTACCTACCAAAGTCTTGGACTAACACTGTTTTAGAAGGCTACTTAAAATATCCTCCGATGCTGAAAACTTCCTGAGAATTTTGCTGTTAGCCTTGAAACATTTGCCCTCCTCTGAAAGTTCACCACTAGCTGTATCTGTCTTATTCCCACAGGGTAATTCCCACAGGCTAGTTTTGTGTTGTGTTCAAATATTGCCAAAGTACATTAGCCAAGGGATTTTTTTGGTGGGGGGGCAAGGGTAGGTTCTTGCTATGTACCCCAGGCTCCACTGAGGTTCACCGTCCTCCTGCTTCAGCCTCCGGAATGGCAGGGCTGCAGAGGTGGGCCACCAGAACTGACACACCAAGGATTTTTAAATATTACATGTCCATAAGAAGTCCAATGTGGAAGATAGCTCTCTACAAGTTCAGTACTACATTTATTTATTAAATATATAAGTACAGCATTGACTTTTACTATTGGGCTACTTAAACCTTCAGTGATCAAAGGGTTTGTATAATAAATGTCACAAACATAGTAAACTCCTCCGCTTCTCACCCAATGCCTTGACCAAAAGAATTAATAGAAGCTGAAACTGATAAAAGAAGTGATGTTTGAGCTGTATGTAGTTTACATTGTAGCCGGGCGTGGTGGCGTACGCCTGTAATCCCAGCACTCGGGAGGCAGAGGTAGGAGGATCGTTGTGAGTTCGAGGCAGCCTGGGCTACAAAGTGAACTTAACGGCACCTGAACTGCATAGCGAGACCCTGTCTAAAAAAAAAAAAGAAAAGAAAAAAGGCCAGGGATATAGCATAGCGGCACAAGCGCCTGCCTGGCAAGCACAAAGTCCTGAGTTCAATTCCCGGTACAAAAAAAAAAGGTAAAAAACAACGTGGGAGCTGGGCGTGGTGGCGCTCGCCTGTAATCCCAGCACTCGGGAGGCTGAGGCAGGAGGATCACTGTGAGTTCAGCCTAGGCTACAAAGTGAGCTCAAGGCCAGCCTGAACTGCATAGCAAGACCCTGTCTCAAAAAAGACAAAAAAAAAAAAGTGGGCCTTAAACTCATATGAACTTAGCCTAGGTTGACTGCAGTCCTCCATCTCTATTTTTTTCCTTCAGAAATTAAGTGGAAAGGTGAAAGTTCTCATCTTAGTAGATGAAAAATACTGTTCTCAATTTGCTAAAATTTGCATTAAGAATTATTCTTTAAGCAGGGCGTGGTGGCGCATGCCTGTAATCCCAGCACTGGGCTGTAATCCCAGCACTTGGGAGGCTGAGGCAGGAGGATCACTGTGAGTTCAGCCCAGGCTACAAAGTGAGCTCAAGGCCAGCCTGAACTGCATAGCGAGACCCTATCTTAAAAAAGACAAAAAAAAAAAAGTGGGCCTAAAACTCCATTGAACTGATATGAACTTAGCCTAGGTTGACTGTTGTCCTCCATCTCTATTTTTTCCCTTCAGAAATTAAGTGCAAAGGTGAAAGTTCTCAACTTAGTAGATGAAAAATACTGTTCTCAATTTGCTAAAATTTGCATTAAGAATTATTCTTCAAGCAGGGCGTGGTGGCGCATGCCTGTAATCCCAGCACTCGGGAGGCTGAGGCAGGAGGATTTATGTGAGTTCAAGACCAGCCTGGGCTGTAAAGTGAGCTCAAGGCCAGCCTGAACTGCATAGCAAGACCCTGTCTCAAAAAGAAAAGAAAAAAAAAAGAAAACAGGAATTATTCTTCAGCAAGGCATAGAGGAGTAGGCTAGTAACCCAGCACTGGAGAGGCTGAGGAAGGAAAATGGCAAGTTTGAACCTAGTTTATGCAACTAAGTGATACTCTGTCTCAAAATAAAAAATAAAAGGGCTGGGAACGTAACTTGAAATGGAGTACCCCTGAGTTCCATCTCCACTATTAAAAAAAAATCTATCTATGAAATTATGAACAAAGAAAATGAAATTTGTGGTAGTTTTGCTGCTGCACAGCCAAGTGCACAAGTTACTGCCACAGTGTATAATATGTGCTTTGTGAGGAGGGAAAGGCACTAGACTTGCGTATGTGTGTACAGGAGAAATCATAGTAGCACAAGCGGCACAACTGGGACTGGGAGAGACTACTCCCCCTTCCTCCACCTGAATTGGGGCAACAATACTCCTTCCACTGTCTTAGAAGAAGCAGAAAAGAAAAATAACGAAGAGCCAGAAAATCTCTGTATTTCCAGGCCATGGTACATGCATGATAGATCTCTTGGCATGACCTTCAGTAACCTTTCCCCAACTCGAACTTCATTGAGGGTTCATCCGTATGGACTGCATCTCATGTATGTGATTTAATCAGAGTGGATTCTGGGACAGGTAGGGGTGTATATGGTGTTCCTGAGATGACTCAGCAAGCTGTCAATCATTCCTGTCAATCTTATCTAAAGACCCCATAGGAGGCACCAGAAGTGGGGTGCACATCTTTTACCATCCAGAAGCCTAGCCAGGCATGGTGGCACATGACTATAGTTCCAACACTCAGGAGGCTGAGGCAAGAGGCTTGCCATGTGTTTGAGGCTAGCCTGACCTACAGAGCAAGACCCTGTCTCAAAGAAAAAAATCCAAAAACCGGATTTGTCTGTGTGCTCTTATTTCCCTCTCACCTATATACCACTTTTCTTTTCATGCTACCCTTTAATTTTGGTTTGCACAGACTTGTCCTTTCTGTTATCTTCAGATAACACCTTTGTGTTATTCAATATGTAACTGCTTTTTCTTGTAATACTGGATGTACACTTGAAATTCTTTGCTCATTAGGCACAAGAACCTGGAACCTATCTCTTGGATCCATCACATGGTATCGATAGCATATACTATATTGGGTTTGGTACTATCTTGGGTTTCATGCATGAAAGTTTTAAAATGTATCTCTCATGGATATTGAAGAAACACTATGGATTTGGTTGCCTTCAACAATAACTTACTTTAATATTTCTTGTAATGTGGGATCTTCTAACAACACATTCTTTCACTTATTTGTCGAAGACTATTTCTCATTTCTTTTCAGTACTGGGGAATGAACCCAAGGCCTCTGCATTGAGCTACAGCTCCAGCCTTTTTAATTTTTTTTTTTTTTTTGAGACAGAATCTTGCTAAGTTGCCTGGGCTGGGCTTGAAGTAGTGAGTGATCTTCCTATCTCACCCTTTCATTTTTTTTTTTTTTTTTGAGCAGGGTATTTCCCTGTACCTCAGTCTGGCCTTGAACAGCAGATTTTTCTGCCTTAGCCGCCTGAGTGCTAGGGCTACAAGTGTGCTCCACCAGACCCATCTCCTCTTCATTTTGTCCTTCAGTTTCCATCATTTTTGTACTGCATTTCAGAGTTCATTACATTTATCAATCAATTGACAAGTTTGTTAAGTTTTTATTCTCGCACTTGAAATCTACTCTTGTTAAATCTAGTGAGTTTTTCTTTTCTCTTTTCTTGAGGTACTGTGGCTTGAACCCAGGAGCACTCTGCCACTGAACTATATCTCTGATACTTTTAAATCCCTTTGGTCAGGATGTGCTCCACATGCAATCCTTCCTCCTCAGTCGCCCAGTGTACTGGAATTACAGGGACATACTATCATGTTCAGCCGTTAGTGAATTTTTCATTCCAATTGTGTCTCTTTTGAACTCCAGAATTTAGCTTCACTCATCTTCACTATTTGACATTGACATCATACAGTGATACCTCGGTTCATGAATGCTTCTGTTCAGTAATAACTTTTGGTACAAGCATTTTGCAGGATTTTGCTTCTGTTCACAAACTCCACATTGGGTGGCAAACTCGACATTGGCCATTTTCCCCACATGGACATGAATGCTGCCATCTTTCTCTGATATGTGGTGGCTTCATCTAGTTGAGATTGCAGTCACAGAAAGACCTGTGTACACTTGCTGTGAAGCTTTTTTGTGTACTTTGTAGCACATATGTACTATACAATACTATTCAATCCAGCCAGGAATATAGCTCAGCAGCACAAGCACCTGCCTGGCAAGCACAAGGTCCACAGTTTGATTCCTAGTACCAGAAAAAAAGAAAACCTCAATCCAGCACAGATCCAAAGAAAGTGCAGAGCAAGCATGGTGGTATAAAAGAATACACAGAGCAATAATGAAGGTAACAAGAAAGTGCAGAGCAAGCGTGGTAAGGTTTTGGAGAAAATAACCATTGAATTGAAGAAGAAAACTGCAGAAAAACATGAACATGGGTGGTACTCCTGTGACTGATCTGTCCTCGGAGTACAAGATGGCAAAGTCGACAATCTCAGCTGTTTTGAAGCACAAAGATGCCATCAAAGAAACTGATGTGGAAAAAGGAGTCACAATGTTAACCAAGCAAAGGACGCAATACTGGAAGAGGCGGAAAATCTTTTGCTACTGTTGTTGAATGAGAAACAGCTGGCAGGTGATAGTGTTAGTGAAACTCTGATTTGCGAAAATGCCAGGAAATTTCACGGCGATTTACTGTAAGAACGCCCCTCTACAAGTGCAGCAAGTGATGAGTTTAAAGCCAGTGGAGGGTGCTTTGATAAATTCCACAAGACGCGTGGCATCCACACTGTGGTAAGACATGAT